AATTAAATAACTCAAAATAATGTTGCTTCCACAGGTTGGCTATATTATCAGTTCCAGAAACACCCTCTAAAGTGCAAGGCAATGATCTAGTGCACATATTAAGAGATTTCACCTCTTTCCAGAAACCTTGTACATTATTACTGAAGAGTTTTTCTGCCATAGAGTCAGCTCTGAGAACCTGCTCATTTTTACTTACATAGCGAACAGCATATTTATACTTAGCATTGGTTAATTTTTTAAGATCCAAGACAGGCCCTTGCCTAGGCCGGCCTGCCAGAACCCAGGCTTTATAAGCCTCCTTGGCCTCTGCATGATATGCAGCAACATACCTGTTCCAGCCTGGCTTAATATTGCTTGCCTTATGAGAGTATGTGTAGTATGGTCTATTGGCCTCCAATACAGCTGCCACAATACAATCATACATAACACATAGGTCTTCACGATGAGAGACTTCATTACAGTTTACATCTGAACACATGATAGCACATCTGGGTAAGTGTACATCAGCCAAAAGGACATCAGTTCTCCCATAATATGTAAGAATGTCCTCATTTCTGAGTTTATGCTACTCCAGTTTAGCCTTATGGGCTCCAGCGCTCTCATGGGCCATCTCAGGGAGACGATCCACATCAAGAGTCATAATAAAAGGTACATGATCTGACAGTGACATATCATACATTATCTCCATTGATTGCAGGGTGGCATGAGCCTCAGCAGTGCTAATGCAGTGGTCTAGCCACGATGTAGAATGCCAGGCCTCACTTATATAGGAGTAACTTTCAGAAGGTAAAAGCAATTGACTGGATAGTATAAGATTGTTATCATCACAAAATTGTAGCATATGTTTAGAGAACCTATCACACCTATTTCTGAGGTTGGCATTCATGTCACCAACCACATAAACACATGTAGAGTGGTTGTCAATAACAAAAGAGTTTATAAAAGCTAATTTATTCAAATATTCATTCTCATTTTGTTGGCATTCATATGGCATGTACACATTCAAGATAATAAAAACTTTGTTTGTCGTAACCATAGCTGGCTAAATCATTCAGGCCTCATCAATCATTGCAGGTTAAACTAATTTACAGCATATGTGGCATCTTGCACCACTTAAGCAGACTGAGCAGCATCGCATTAATGGAACTGAACCCTCAGCCTTTGCAGGCCAAGCAGCATCACATTAATGGAATTGAACCCTCAGCCTTCGCAGGCTAAGCAGCATTACATTCATGGCATTGAACCCTCAGCCTTCGCAGGCTAAGCAGCATTGCATTCATGGAATTCAGCCCTCAGCGTTTGCAGGCTAAGCAGCACCACATTCACAGCATTCAGCCCTCAGCCTTTGCAGGCCAAGCAGCATCACATTCACAGCATTGAGCCCTCAGCCTTGCAGGCCAAGCAGTCTAAAAAAAAAGTTATCTATAATTCTGTGTTTTGCTTATTTTGTGTCTTATCTCTTTGCAGATCATTTAACTATGTTTGATTTATCATGGCTTGCTCACTGCAGCTCCTTAAGTAAATATTCTTTGGGGGTAATTTTAGGCTGTGTTCTTTTCTTGAAGGGGCCTTCGCCCTTTTCATATTGTGAGATTCTTCTTGCTGCCGCTCAGATGTCCCACAATCTCAAATAATCTCCCTCTGGTGTCTATGCGCCAAAGACTTTGTTAAAATCATATCCGCACAATCACCTTGTTAATCTGTACACCTGTATTTCGCATTTCATTTAATTAACAAAAGGTTGATAACACATTGAATTGCCATTCTTTGAACCTCTCTTTTTGAACCAAGAGCGCCATTTAGTGGGCTCCAAAAATAAAGAAAATGCTTCACGAGGCTTCAGTCGGCCATTGCTGCCAATCAGACATAGAGTAGGACAGGTCATGCCTTTTCCATCCAATGAAAAGAAAAATGGCCTTCTGGACAGAAGAATTCACATTTCTTAAGAAGTGTTTTAAACTCCACCTCCAAATTAAATGACTGTAGCTTCTGAACCACTCTGAATACATGCATGCATGAGGTCTTGTCAGAAAGAAAACTCCCTAAAGTTTCTTGTGAAAGGGTCAGAAACACTCTGGGTGATACAGAGACAGACTAATGGGCCTCTGAGCTCAGTAAAAAATTGAAGATTTTGCCTAAAATAAAATAAAAAATGTATTTCAGGATGAATAACTGTCTGTTGCTTCATCTGAGCACACGTTTCAAACTTGAAGAAGACTGCACCAAGTATGACCATTCTACAGTGTTTTTCCATGAAAAGATCCAGACAGAGCTCCCAAAGACAAGTCGGTCACTTGGCTTAAAAACAGTTCTGTCAGTGATCAAACAACACTCAGCCAGCTTCAAACATTGTAACTTACTGAAATCAGGGGTGATTGTGATAGCTGATGTTGTTTTTGACACAGAAACACCATAAAATATCACCAGAATAAAGCCATCTGAAAGTGAAAGTTATGATCCCACTTTCTAGACTGTATATTTCAGCCAAAAATAGTGGTAGGGGTAACTCTTACCTTTATAAACCAGCTAAGTCCCCACTAACAGCTCCACATAAAATCGTGAGTAATCCTTTAACTTTTCCCGTCGAAAAACGGCATGACATGACTTGTCACTACTCATTGCGATTTTGGACTTTGTGTGTTTAGGTCACACTGGTGCAAAATACATAATAAATAAAAGAAAAATGATGTTATTTTTGAAAAGTCAAGACCTTCCTGAATCCGGCAATACCAAACATCACATGGTTTGATGACGTAGTGCACCTGGGAGATACCATTTAACAGAGGAGGAGGGGAGCAAGGATGTCGGCGTCCTGGCGGAGTTAGAGAGGTTAAAGAAAAGGGACGTGCAATTTCTAAAATCTGTCACTTTTATTTTCCCGTTAAAGGATAACTTCGGTATTTTTCAACCTGGGCCCTATTTCCCCATGTGTATGTGTGCGTATGATTCATAGGTACATACACCATTTAAAATTGGTTCAGTATTGAGGGAGCCGGCAGCCACGAAGTAGATATTGGGGCAAATGCGTCCCGTATAAGTTTGCGCATTAAAAGTGATTTTTTTCGCCACTGACAGGTTCAGATCGCCAGTGCTAACTCTGTAAATAGCATACTAAGCGTTTCCCTGACCCTTCACCTCCTCCCGGCTGTGTGTGACGTCATCTCGCGAGAGCTTTGCTTGTTGCCGGAAGNACTCTGTAAATAGCATACTAAGCGTTTCCCTGACCCTTCACCTCCTCCCGGCTGTGTGTGACGTCATCTCGCGAGAGCTTTGCTTGTTGCCGGAAGAAAACGGGGTACGATATATACGAAGGCAAAGTATGCAACAGTAAACGTGTGTCTCTGAGACAATTCTAGGTATCAGTATTACATGCATAAAGACATATTAGTTATACTTACTTGATGGATAGTTGACCACTTAGTCCCTGTGGTTTTGGCCGCCTCCTCCAATTTATTTTGGGCACATGAAAAAAGGTATCCAGCACTGTCCTATTGATCAGAGGGGGGAAATCCTCTAACGTAGTTACACAGCGTTTGGTAGTTTCTGTATCATCCCAGGACACGTCGAGACCATGGATATTGGGCAACAGGTCCCACTCGTTGCAACACAGACATTCTTCCTCTGTGGGCATGGAGTCACAGCAACCACAGGAGCACCACCAGTCTAGCCTGGTTCCAGACCATAGACCCCGCCCACTCAACTGAGTAGGCTTGCATCTCTGGTCTGGCATACTTCAATGAATTTGCGATTTATCTCATCCAAACGATGGACGGACCAATGAACGCCGGGGGTCTAGCGATTAGCCAATCAGCGCCACGCTGATGTCAAGCTGAACGCCGGTGGGTAACTGGTAAGGATAGCAACAATGGCGACCACTACAGATCCTACAGACCACATTAACGATGCTATCGAGGTATTTCGCCACTACTCGCGTTAATGGAGGACCAAAGTAAAGAAGCTGCTAAACTGGATTTAACGGCGATGCAGCTGGGCGTGCACGACGACGGAGACATTTTAAACGGGCAATGCTCGCTTGTTTTCGGCACTCCTGAGGCATGGATACTAATGATGTCAGATTCTGGGTGAGTCGTTGATCTCTACTGATTGGTTAGGGAAAAAATCAAATTCCCTCCCCCTTGTAAATCACCTTCAATGGAAGCCATGTCAGACTGAAGGTTCTGGGAGCTTCAGTCTGACACTCAGGCTACCACCAGTCCTCAGAGATTCACGCTCGTGCAGCCGCTGCTTCACCCTCGTCTGCTCGTTGACCCTCTCTCTCTAGGCAACAAGGAAAGCTTCAGGCAACAAGGAAAGCTCTCACGAGATGACGTCACACACAGCCCACAGGAAGTGAAGGGTAAGGGAAACGCTTAGTATGCTATTTACAGAGATAGCACTGGCGATCTGAACCGGTCAGTGGTGAAAAAAGCACTTTTAATGCGCAAACTTATACGGGACGCATTTGCCCCCATATCTACCTCGCGGCTGCCGGCTCCCTCAATACTGAACCAATTTTAAAACAAGTTGTACCTATGAATCACACGCACACATACACATGGGGAAATAGGGCCCAGGTTGAAAAATACCAAAGTTATCCTTTAAGTACAGGGGTCACATGGTGCAATGAAATGAATAAATGAATGAATGAGAAAATAAGGATAATTGCTTATGCAAGAGATTCACTCAAGCTAATGCCAGAGAATGATTCTAAATTCTTCCTTGAGAATTAAAGGTAAAATTAAAAGCAGTTATTGTTTCAGTCACCAGAATGCAGGAAATAAACACACTGAAACGTAAGTCCCCAGAAGTTTTGGTTTCAAAATTTTCCATATTTTGGAGGTCTCAAGTTTGGCAAGTAGAGGTTATGTTTGTCTGACTGCACTTTCATTATTCACAGTAATAAAGGTGCAATTTCTATCACATCATGCTAACAGTACAGTCATACCAATGACTCACTGCAGTTTCTGAACAGCGCTAAGATTCAGGGCTAACTTGCTCACCTTTGGTAATGAAGGAGCCGTTCCTGCTGAGGGCCGAGTCTTTGCTTGAGGTGGAGTCACAGCGAAGCAGGGGCTCCGATTCATCGGGGAAGAAGCCTTTGGTACGGTCCACCGGCGACTGCTCCACGCCTGTGCCGCTGGCCCCGCCCATGCTCCCACCACTGTTGCCACTGCTGCCACTGCTGCCAATGCTGCCGGGAGACTCGAGTGGCTTGTGGATGGGACTGAGGCTTTGGCTTACATTCACTGAGGTCATCAGCTGGTTGATGTCAAACTGGACAGACACAGAGAGATGGGAGGATGTGAGAGTGAAGAAGAGTATATCATAACAAGAAATGGAAATACAAAACAGCAATAATAATAATAATACACTTTCTTTTACAGGGCACCTTTTACTCAAGAAATGCAGCACAGAGTGCTTCATAATAAGGGCATTATGGGCACTGAGTGCTTCACACAAGAATACACAGCATCAATTTAAAACAGGCAAATGAGGCAATTCAATATAAAAGGACATTTAAATACAGTTTAAAACAAAAAAGGGTGAAAACAGAGGCATCATAGCTCAGTATTAGCAAAACCATAAATCTTAAAATCATAAAATAATCAAACTATAAAATCAAAAAAAACAAAAACAATCATGAAACAATAAATAATAAAATCAAATTATAGCTTCTGCGCAGCAATGGTCGGGGTCGGGCAATTTTAGGCAAAATTAGGCAATTCTGAGCAACACACACACTAAAACAAAGCATATCACAACATAGAAGTTACATCATATAATTATGGCATGCCCTTCAAATTGTGGATGAGTGGCTGAAGTGATCAGACTCATAATATACAAAGGAAAGAAAAAACTCAAGAACAAGAAAGTAAGAATAACATTAACTGCTAGCAATTATGAACAAACTGGCCTGATCTAGCTTAAAGCTAAACATTATCCATGGTGACAAAGATGAAAACATTTTTTAAAATGTAAAAGTAGCTATTGGATAGACTCTGCATATTGACTGATAGCTAAGCCAAATAAACAGGGAAAAGAGACAAGGGATAACAGGGAAAAGTGTTGATAAAGAGTATTTGTCTCTCCGCAAAACTGCCTGGATCATAATTATTTTAACCTTGGTAGTCTCTAATCCACATAGCATGATGCCTGAACATAGGACTTTCACATTAGAATGTCCGTTCTGCCTTAGCTGAGGCTTGAACTCACAACTTCTGAGACTGAGGTCCGTCTTCTATCTCACTGAGCTAATTGGCAAGTGACAGTTCATGTGTGGCTTCACAAATTGACTAAGCCAAGCATCAGGGTGCCAGACAGTAGCCATCCATGCCATGGAAAAGCAAATTTCAAAGTGAAAGTTCCAAAGCTGTAGCACATATGGTTGATTTGTTATGAATTTTCAAAGTTTTGAAATTTAGAGGCTTGCTGTAGTGCCACCATCAGGACTATTGTCTTGTGTTTCCAGTTGAGGACATCTGGCATGGGACTGGACCTTTATGAAAAGTTGGGGTAGATTTCTCATATGGAAATGTTGCACGAGCTGAGGCTTTAACTGACAATCTTCAACACCAAGAACCATCCTCTATCTCACTGAGCTAACTGGCAAACAGAAATGTCACATGTAGCTTCACAAATTGACTAAGCCAGTCACCTGTGTGCAAGACAGCAGCTGTTAGTGTGTAAAGGCAGATTTCAAACGGCTGTCAAAAATTCAGTTATTAAGACAAAAATCCTAAAATACATAAATTGCATCTAGACAGCATGGAGATGTTGGTAATTTATTTTTAACAATGATTTATTGGCTCCATAAGCGAAAAACTGATTTTAAAAATGCCATTTTTGCATTGACTCCAATTGTTCGCATGACAGCGAAATTCAAAATGCTGTAAAAAATTCAGTTTTTGAGATAAAATTCTGATATTTTCCAAACATCATCTCCCATGACTCCAAAATTTTGTCATTTTTTTAATGAACACTGAAAATGTATTTAGCAAGAATTTGCAAGTATATGTTTACAATACTGTTTACAGTCAAACATTTTGATGCACTGTAGGTTCAATTTTCGTTAAATCAAAAATCTGTGGGGATTGTTTGTGTAGGACAGTCTGAAGATGCTCTGTAGCAAGTTTGGTGTCAATTGAGCAAAAATTGTGGGAGGAGATAGGTTTAATAAGTTTTACAGTTTTTGAAAAAAACAGAGTGATGGACTTCATAATTTGCAATAGGTTTAAATGTACAAAAGTTTCTTCAGTATTGGGGCTACATTTTGGTGAAAGTTGCAAATCTGTAGCACATATGGTTGATTTGTTGTGAATTTTCAAAATTTTTAAAAATTTAGAGGCTTGCTGTAGCGCCACCATCAGGACTATTGTCCTGTTTTTGCAGCTGAGGCAATTTGGCATGGGACTGGGCCTTTGTGTAAAGTTTGGTGATTTTTTGCGCATGGGAAGTATGGTTTCCTTGGAAGAAGAAGAAGAACATGCAGCAAAACAATAGGGTCCTGGCAGCTTAGGCTGCCCGGCCCCTAATAAGAGACAACATGTTAAAAGAGTTGCAGCAGTTTTAAGTGTAAAAATAAATGGTTTCAGACCTGTATCAGGAAAGTCAGAGTTAGTTAACGGCTGAAGTGAACAGATACATTTTTAGCTTTCTTTAAAAAATATTTCGTGAGCTGGCTTCCCTGATATCTATAGGTCGTGTGTTCCACAGCTTTGGGGTGTAACTGACAAAGGCCGCATCCCAGATCTTCTTCCGGCTGTTGCTGGGAATCTCCACTAAACCAGCAGCAGATGAACACAGTGTTCTTGGAGGCAAATAGTTAATGAGGAAATTAGCAATGTAGGTGGTTCGGGGCCATTGTCCAAGCTTCGTATACAAGAAGAAGGAGCTTCAATTCTAAACGTAACAGGAAGCAAGTGCAGAGCAGCTCAGACCAGCCTGATGTGCTCTGGTGGTTCTGGTTCATAACTGAGCTGCAGAGTTTTAAATTAGCCCTTTTAAACTCCGTCAGTAAAAGTGTCCAGTCAGCTTGGAATAAAAGCTTGAATCTAAATGCTTCGAAACACATAATAGTCAGGAGGTGCACTTCTGAAGAATCTTATATATCTTTATATTAATATTAATACATCAGTGATATGGATACTGCAGTATCTTTTGTTGGTGCATTTTTGTGCAATCATCTGGCTTCTGTTTTTTCTCTTTTTTTTTCCTTTTTTGGGTGGTATAAAGAAGCCAGTGCTAATGTGCTCCAATCACTGCTTTTCCTCAATATTGAGAGATCACTGTTCCCCTTACTCATTAGAGTTTTTAAGAAACTAACCCCGTCTAGTGGTTTTAAACCTGCCTGAAAAAGAGCAGCAAATGCATTTAGCAAGGTTTTCTGTAGTGGCAGTGAGTGAGCCAGAGAAAACACAGTGATTCAAGACTCAACATTAGCCACTTAAATGAGTGAGCCTTTTGCTTCAACACCTTCTGTCCATCTCTGACATCTCTGATACTGACACATCTTGTATTATTGCGTTTGTAGTCAGGCTCCCTTTTAGACCCTCTTTTTGATTAGTCTGTCCTAGTGTTGTCACGATACCAAAATCTTTGTTTTGGTACCAATACCAATATGAATTTCGATACTTTTCGATACTCTTCGGTACTTTTCCTAAGGAAAAGTCCTTTTGGATACAAACCTTTAGAACAATAAATAGTAGGGGTGTAACGGTACCATAAAAATCATGGTTCGGTAAGTACCTCGGTACGGACGTCATGGTTTGGTAACTCAAATGTTCCACCAAGTTTGTGTTGTCTCGTGTTGTCTCCCTTTGCAAGGCAGACTTTCACTTGTCTTTTTTCACGTGCGCCAGCTGCGAATGTTGATACAGGTGTTGTCTTACACACCACTTGTGCAATCTGTGCTCCAATAGGAACAAGAAAGGCGTTTGTGTGCATAAATGAGTAAAATAAATTAACTAAATTAATGAATTGAATCAATTTCAAAGTACCGGTATTTTCCAAATGCAGTATAGTACCGTTTGGAATACTCTAGTACCGCGGTACTATTTTAGTACCGGTATACCGTGCAACACTAGTTTGTCCTTCTTTTTGGGTTACATTGCAGTGTAGTTTTAACATGTCGGTCTCTGATGTGCTCTCTCCTGAGGGCATGGACTACAATATCTTCCAGGAGGGTTAGATATACCATCTTAACAGCTGCTTGGTGGTAAATCATAATATAATATTTTATAAACCCTCCATACCTATTAAAAGGCTACCAAGTAATAATAATGGAGCATGAACCATAGATGACAATATTGCAGTAGGAAGTGGAAGTTAATTGTGAATGCATGAATGAAAGTCTCTGCAGCTGAAACAGAGAGGGATGGCCAGAGGTGGGCAATGTTTCTGAGATGGAAGAAGGCTATTTTGGTGATGTGTTTGTTATGTTGGTCAAAGGAGGGGGTTTGATCAAAGATGACACCAAGGTCATAGATATGGGGGAAGGTGAGCACAGTGGAGCCATCAATGGAGGGGAGAAGTTAAAGAGGCAACAGATAGGATTAGTTTATTTTTTAGCTTGGCGCCACCTAGCGTCAGCAGTGTTGCTTGGACTGTCACAAAGACCAAATTGACCGTGGGGATCAGAGATAATCAATAAAATGTAGGCTGTAAAGCCACCAGTATACCTCTATGTATATGTAGAATGAGAGGGTGTGTGGACACTATACTAAATAAATGAGTAAAGAGACCGAGCAACAATTATAAGATTTATCTGAAGAAAAAAACAAATAGTAATGCAAATAATTACACCAGAATGCACAGTACCAGTACAAACAACTCACAGTAAATTATACCAATATGCACAGTATCAGTACAAACAACAGTAGACACGTAAGGGATAATGTATTGAGCCGGTGACTGTTGAAAAATAACTCCCGACAGGGGAATGGAACCCCGACGCGCAGCGGAGTTATTTTTAACAGTCACCGGCTCACTATACATTATCCCGCTTAGAACATGGCTTAGTACTAAAAGATTCAAATGTTACAACTGGCATCAATATTATTAAACTGCTGGCAGAGTGTATTGACAGAGGAGAGGCGTTCACCAGACAAACAGGAGCGGAGGAGAGGATTTTACTCCACTTCTCCCGGTCGGAGAGGCTGGGTTGCTGCAGGGCGGGGTGGGGGTAATCACTGTCCGAGGGCTGCCGTAGAATGGCAACGAGGATGTCAGCCGACCAACACTCGCTACCCGGTCCCTGGTTGCGGCGATTTGCGATG